TCGCATGCCTGCTACCAGATCAGCTATCTGAGAACTGCAAATTAGGCATCAAATTAACACTAACTTCGTTTTGTACTGACTATAGGGCAGAAACAGGTATGCAACAGGACCAGGGTTAACACAAGGAAAAATCACAACAGAACTGGCTCTTCTACTCTGGTGCAGTAACCACCTACGATCCCACAAACAGCCCCAGCTACTCCTCTCTCTAAATAAGAGTGTACCAAAGTGCCAGAAGCCACACTACCAGTGAAAAATGCGACTGGAAGCAAGACTTCAGCTGGACTGGCCTGAGTGTTGCCATCAAAACAGAATCCTCTGTTCCCTACTGCCAGCATCTGCAGTCTCTCCTACTAGCACCAGTACTGGTTTAACTCCACAGTGAGCCTGGGAGAACTAAGCCCTCAGAAGTTAGTTCTCACTATGCAATTGTTAACACCATCCTTGTCCTTCTCCTATAAAAACAAAATCCACCACCTTTCCTGCCTGTTGCCCTTCTCCAAGGATACAGACAGGCCACAGGGCTCGAAAGAGAAAGAAAAAAAAACAGAAGAAAAAAAAAGGGGGTCGGAAGTGTAATTAAAAATTGGACTCCAGTTGTGAAGGGGCTAATGAAACAGTTTATTTACTGAAGTCCAGAGTTGGAATATTCATTGCTGTAGAAACAGACTGACCACCAAAGGCTCCTGTTTTGGATGTGGGTCTTCCCTACATTTTATACCAGCATGCTCTGAAGCCAGAGTCCAAACACTAGACACAAAAGGTCTCTTATCTCTTGACATTTCACATAGACGAAAACTGCTTTAGAGCCTGGAAACGGAGTACAAATGGAGTACAAATACAACCAGCAATTTTCTCTGGCATGGGCAGATAAACCTAGCTCCCATTGCACTGGCTGGGATACCCGCTGAAGCAAGGCAGCAGGGCACTTAGTTCAGGTTAAGGCAAGGTGTTAAGGCATGAGAAGTGAGAAGGGAGGGGAAGCAGGGTTATTGGCAAGAATCACAGAAATTCAGGAAACTGAAGCAATTTCTATAGAGCCTCACAATGACCAAGAAAAAAAAAATAATAATCCTTTTCTCACTGTAAGAAATCTCTTTTGAGGACTGTGCATTATAGTACAAAACCATCTTAAAGACAGTTTAACAAGAACAAAGGCAGAAAGTCTAAGAGTTACTAAAAAGTCTGCAGAGAAGATTCCTGTTTTGCTATAGAATCCGCACAAAACTGAGCCACTTTCTCAGCCCAGATCCAGTTACTCATAACCACGTTGCTATAGTAAATCACAGATGTAACTACACAGAACAAATTACGTGGCTCATTCTTCCAGGCCAGCAGCAGCACACCTCATACCTTTTTCCTTTTCTTTGAAGAATCATCAGCCATGCTGGTCTTTTTATCTCTTTCATATCCTGCTGCCGCCACCTCCTCTTCTTCATCTTCTGGGATGAGGCTATATTTGGTACCTCCAGGCTGCACAAAACACTCCTTGGCAAAATGACCTGTAAAATAGTGTTTGGAGGAGCAATGCTGCCCATCCCCTGCTCTCCTCCCCCTTTTTTTATTTTATTAAAACAACTGCATTTCAGACACCTGAAGTGCATCTTTTTATTATTAATCACAATAAGAGAATCTACACTGTAAATTTTTTGTCCTAGCATTTCAGCTAGTTTAACATGCCCTGATTAAAGAAGCCAGGGGAGCAAACGCAACCCAGGTTGGAAAGATTAGTCAGGCAAAAACTACGACACTCTTGTCTGAACAGGGAAATTGGTAGAAACTTGTCTGTGCAAGGACTTAAGCAGCATAGAAAAGTGTATGGGAAAGGGAGTCAATCAGTGTCATAGGCACCTGGTAAATGAGACCAAAGCCCCACACAGAGAAAATCAGCTCATTCTGGTTCTACCCTTTCTACTCTGGAGACATCAAAGTTGACCTACTAATAGTTGCAGTGGAAACTACAGATAGACAGCATCTGCCTGCATGTTATGAGTACACATCACCATGAAAAAGCAGACTGGAAATATGCTGAATCCAGTTTAAAGTTTTGAGGGTTCTTTAAAATGTTTTTTTAAAGACCGTTATCTACCACTACAGAGAAACAAATTTGTAACCTTCTCCACAAAAGCATTAACTCCAGCTTAACTATTTACTCTATGGCTAAATAACGTAAGTCAAGTAGGGTGCAGTAAAAACTCCATGTGGAAAAAACTATGCCTCAGCAACATATAAGCCAACTTCCCATTGCTGCACTAGGCAAAAGACAAAAATTTCACCAGGTTAAAAAAAAAGTTTGTTTTCAGCTCTAAGACAGATGGGCACAAGCTAACACAGTGCTCGCAACAACTAATCAGTAAAGTTATTCCTACGGAATGTTCTTCATAATGAAATGATCTGGTGGAAGCATACATTTATTCCTTAAAATGCAAAACTGGAACAAGACCATGGCTGTAAGACACAATAACACAAATACTGCAAGAAGGGAACCTGTACTGATCCTGGGCTCAGTAGAAAGGCCCTTTACAGGAAGCTCAATGGGATGCAATTTTAAGAAACAAACCTCTATAAAAGGAGTTCAGCTAAGTCTTTCCTTTTTGTAAGAAGCGACAGAAAAAGTAGTTCTCCTCTAAAAGAGACATGTGGAAACAAAATTCAGTCCTTAAGCAGCCATGAGACAGATGTCAATACAATCCTATCTACAGGTCACTACCTGGATAAAACAAGGCTGTACCAAAAGACAATGCTGCATGAACATACCTTTGCAACCGCATTTCTTGCACACAGTGTTCAAGACAGCTTCAAGTGTGATCTTCTGACTCGTGTAGTCTCTGAACATGCGTTTTTTCCTCTCATCCTGACTGGAAAGAGAAGGACAATTCTATTTTCAATCCACTCTCACCTTTAACCCCATATATTTATACGGGCACAACCTAACCACAAGTGTTTTCAAATGTTGCTCTAAAAGTACCACTGAGCTGAACCAAAGAACAGACCTGATCAATCGCTCATTTGAATAAACCACATTGTTCACAGCATATTACCTGTAACCTTCTACTTTTGAGATTAACTGAGCAGTCTCTAGAAAAGCAGACAAATGGGGGGAGCTGCACTTACGTCCTTTATACTAACATCCGCATTTTGTATGTGAACACACACACATAGATATACTTGCCCAGTATGAAAATAAAGCAATTATATTTGATCTGCAAGAGATGTTGCAAACAAAAAAAAAAAAAAAAAAGGTAGACAAAGAAGCTCTGAAACATCTGAGCAGTTAAGATTTTGTGGTATGTGAAAGCAAGACAAATGCCCAGCTGGAACAAACAGTCCTTCCAGCACAAGTGCACAGCCACCACAACGCAGGAATGAAAATCCCACCACGGTGTGCAGGGCTGGAACTCACTACAGCCTCCACCAGCTCCTGCCTGCCTCTAGGTAGCATAACCGAGGGAGTGCCTTCAGACAACCCTCCTGGCAGCCACAGCATCGCTGGTGGGCTCAGGAAGAGCCAAAGGAGGGGGTACCTAGAGAATAAGTAGGGCAGGAAAGCCAGGAATGCAAGGCTGGGAAAAGCAGGGAGTAGCAACCTGTCTGATCTGTTATATTCTACTCAGTAGATTTACCTACTCAAGGGAAACATTGTTTGGATCGAGGTCTTTTCCTGTGCCTTGGTTAACAACCTTCATGGAGAGGGAAAGCTTCAGTTTGTCATCTTTCATCTGGAAAGAGGAAGATATGGAATGAGAAGAGTAAATGACAGCAATGTTAATTAACAGTGTGCCTGGAGGCCTATAAAGAAGGATGACTACAAAAGAGATGACATGAAAGTGCTTTTGTTCTACTATTTTGTAGCTATATTTAGACTATTCTAGCTAATAAAACAGCTTCTGTTAAGCAGTTATCACAGTAATATGACAAGCTCAAACTATAGGTCCATTCAGATTAACATTCTGCTTTCAATATGACCAAACCCAAGAGCTGCAGAAGAAAGTGCATGTTTGGAAGCTTTGCATCCACCCCCAAGGCAGTTCTCCCTGAACCAGTACTTCGGCCAACTTGCACCCTGAGAAATAAGACTTTATATACTTTTTCCCATTTCGATCCTCTTAGGAGACTAAAGTTTTAAGTACCTCTGTTAGGAGCTTACTCTTTTCTGAATCCTAGTAAGTCCTTGATCACTGAAATCCTATCACTTTAGAAGCAAGAGCAGAAGTTGTATGTTTGGGGTTTTTTCAAGTCTTTCTTACAATCGTCTGCATTTTCACCAGTGCTGCTATTGAAGCTATTTCTGTTTTGTCGTTTATGACATTCATGCAGTTATTTGCAGGCAATTTAACATCAAACTCTTCTGCTGTCCACCTCTCCAACAATCTTCTGCCCCTTGCCTCTACAGCAAAGAAGCCAGGAACCCAACAACTGTGTTTCAGATAAAGAATGCAGTGGCTTAATAAAAAAGTATACAAACAAAATTAAAAAAAAAAAGAAAAAAGGTACACCAAAGGTGGCTAAAAAGAATCTGTAGAGTCTTTCATACAGATTTTCTATATTGTGTAAATAAGACCAAGTTTCTCAACCCATTTCCCTTATCTCACACAAAATTAAGTCCTTGTTTCATACATCAACCCAATTATCTTCTTTCAAAAAAAATGCAAAGCATTTAAGGCCAAATCCTGTGCAACTCTGAACTGAATCCTTCCACCTCACTCCCAAGAAAATACAGTCAGCTTGCTTTGTTTCCACGGCTCACCGAAACAAGTGTCTATAGTCTTTGTTCCAAGTAATCTTTAAATATGATGATATGCCTACTGTCACTTCTTCTGCACATGAAAAAGCAATGTAGATTGTAGGGAAGAAAACATATATAATGCTCTTACTTCAAAACAAACAAAAAGCCTCTCTATTTTCTTTTGGGCATTATTCATTGCCACTTATACCTTCCTGAAAACAAACAAGCAAAGAAAAAGCTCAGCTTCTTCTAAGAACAGGCTCTCAGTTAATGAGCATAACATTATTAACATACACAGTTAATGAACTGTGTTTATATTGGCTCTTATCTTGGGATCCTCTCAAATTGCTCATTTAGCCACCAAATCACACAGTTAAGGTAACACAAGCTGGAAGGGGTGCACAGGGAAAGAACGGGAAGCGATTTCTTGCTTTTATGCCAGAAGCTTTTATGAAATCCCTTTTTCCGAACTGCACTGTTGCGAGTCACAGAAGGTCAGTGGCCAAAGCCACACCTGGAGGTGAAGAGAGTTCACCTGTCTGCAAAACAGAGCCTGTCAACCCCCAACAAAGCGACAGGAACACACAGGCTCTGTGCACAGAATTTCTCAGTTCATTCTTCTTGCAGTATATTTTATCTACACAGCACTAAAGGAACAAGAATTAAGGTTACCTCTTTTCCAATAAGCTTCACCCATACTTTGTCTCCAACATCTACTATCTCTGAGGGTTTATCCACACGGCAGGAGGACATGTGGGTCTTATGAACAAGGCCTAATCATGTTTTTGAAAAAGAAAAAAAGGAAAAAATAAAGACAAGTCTCTACTGAATCACAGTTTTGTCCTCTAAGACAGTGGTCTCTAAAGCGTGGTGACGCAAGACAATCCTTTGGGGTATGGGAATATTTTTGTGACATTAATAAATAATTTTTTTAAAAAAATTATAGTGCTTATTTCATCTTTAGCTCATCCTTTTTAATTTCTATTTTTGAGTATGTTTTTTAATGTACATAACATTAGTACAGTAGTACGTGTATATAATTTATAAATAAATGTACATATACTGGGGGTGTGCATGCTCAAAAAAATTTTAACTGATAGGGTGAACTAATTTTAACTAATCGTGCACTAGGGATGCACAATCAAAAACGTTTGGAGACCACCGCTCTGGGAGACAGGGAACATATGCAGCAGTTACCCTAAGCAAAACTAACCATTTCTTTCCTCCAGTACATTATGCAGGTGAGAATCAACTAGCTGCATCAATCAAACATGTAAAAGATCTGCTCCATATTAACTCAGAGAAGCAGGCCCCCAAAGCAGTGTCTTTGTACTCAAAATATCAGGTGCCCATATGGAAAACTGTAGCAGGCACTAACACCTCCCCTTCCGGTCCTCCGAGGCCAGCCCAAGCATGGGAGAATAAAGAGCCCATTTCATGCACCAGCAACACAATACTTCACTGGCAAAGTCAAAAGCATGAAACACCAAAGCTGCCCTGATCTCCTGCACTTGCAAGGTCACACTGCCCCAAAATTTAATTTTTAATTTGCACTAATGACATGTGGGCTACAGGGTTATACAAGGGAGGATAAATATGGAAACACACCTTGCTGTTCAAGCTCGTATTTCAGGGCCCATTTGCATCTCAAAGCAACTTCCCTCCAACAGCCACACTTCTGTCCAGAAACTTTTATTAGACCTGGCACTACAGGAACTGGGCATTTCAAGAGGGGAGCGGAGAAGGGGTTATTTGTGGGCCTACCAGCATGTGACAGAACATCCACCATCAGCTGGTTCTTTTGAAAACTTTGCAGGTTTCCCACAAACATAGACACCGCTTTAAGTCAACTTTTCTGGTTTATGTTTTTATTTGAGTTTTATTTGTATCGGCCATAAAAAAAGTAAGTTGGATATATTATCTAACTGCAAAAAGTTTCTGTAGTTTGCCCAATACCTTGAAATGATTCTCTAAAATATCCTGAAATTGCCAAAAAGCCCTCTGAGTCTTTTCGGTGTTCATGCAAAGGTACCATCATATTCTAAATACTTTCCAAGAACCTACATTTCTTCTTAATTTAGAAAAAAACAAAATCTTTTCTGAGCTTTTAGAAAAAGCTAGCAAGCCTTTAATTCCAAGGATGACTGCTTGGCTAAAACACACTAACATGAAACTATGTCTGAACAAAATTAGAGAAACAAACCTTGTTTCCTGCAGCCTGGGATTTTTATAAATGCCCCATATTCTGTCACTGTAGCAACCTGTGAAGAAAACCAACACAATACCTAAAGGAAAACCCTTCACAAAACTCCCATTTTCAAACCACAGATTAGAATACACACAAAAAGTCTACACAATTCCCCTATTTTCTTTCAGTTTTAGATTTCAAGGCAGGTTCGACACTGCAATGCTTGGTGACTCTGGAGCAGGTTGCAGTCAGCCAACCACTCCTGCATTATTCAGATAAGCATCTTATAAGTATATGCATATGTATCTATACTTACGTACATAAACACACAAATACATATACATCGGTGTCTAAGTACGTGGAACAGAACCGTCAGTTACCCAAACCGCCACTGAACTACGTAGTGCCAAAAACAACAAAATGAAGCGACAAAGAAGCATGCCACAGGCCGTAACGTCTCCCAGGGTCCCTGCCGCAGGCAGCGGCGCCACACACCTCGCCCTGGAAGATGGCGTAGAGCTCAGGCAGCGCCTCCATCACCGCAGGCCTCACAGGGTCCAGGCGAAAGACACTCCAACGGGCCCCCAGCGCTACCTGGAATCACCCCAGCCTACTGCGCATTCATCACCCGAGTGCACAGAGATGCCTTGAGAAGAAATATTTAGTTAATGCATGAAAACACCTGCGGACAGGCGCATAAACAGGCAACAGTGATTAGTTCATCTTGAC